CTTTACGGAAAGCCTGGAATGTAGGCATTGGATAACCGAAGAAACCCCGTTACATTTGCATTCCATCTTCTTGTTTTACATGACATAAGCCGAATACCCATAAAATATGCTGTTCAATGAAATAGTAGTGTTTTTTTAGATAATTAAAAAAAAACAACGAAACTCAAATAAAAACATATATCTCATGTTCTTCATGTTTCTTGAGCTTTAATTTGTAGTTTTTTATCAATTTGGTTTTCATTGCGAACTTGCACCGGCCGGATATGGGTCATTAATCTCTTGCCAACGCTTCAATAGGATTTGAGCCAATAATCCATGAACCACTTGCTAAAACTAGGCTCTGGTTCACGGATTTGCAGTGTCAACAATGTATTTGGTATTCCAGCATAAGACTTCGATGAGATTTATATCTAGTTGGACAGTTGGCCTTGGAAAAACGTCGATCTTTTCCGATAAAAATCAATTCCTAGCGAGCTTTTCTGGGTATTTTAAGTCATTATCCTGTTAAAAGATCCTTTTAACATGAATTTTTCAACTGTAATTTGAATTTAATGTATTTTAAAGTATACCTACATACACAGTTTCGCTCAAAACCATACTATACTCAAACGCCAGGCTAGAAAGTACTAGCTTATATGAGCTGGGCCCCATAAGGCTCAGCCTTCCATGCCCAATGCTATTTTTTTCATGATTTTAAGTGGTAATTGAATTTCTGTGAATGCCAAACATATTCTTTTGAGTCTATCTTACCATATAATACAACTTTACTATCATCAGTCAAAAGTATTTTTGTCACTGTGACACAGGCCATTCCACATGCGTTTTTCCAAACTGAAGTCGTGCACCCATGTACTCTTAGACCCAAACGCGGAGCTTTCTGGAACTTCTTGCATTCAAATAATGTGTAATCAACAGTCTACAAACTGTCACATCACTGACAGATCGATTAAAAATTTTTTTCATAGTTTTTGAGGATATTCAAGGCCTGGTCTTGCCTTCGACCGCCGCCAACCATCCTCTAAAAAATAAATTTTTCGCATACAAAATCGATTTTCAGTTTACTTCTTTTAGTTAATTGGGTTAAATACAATAGTGAGAGTGCATACAACTTAATTTTCAATTCCAATATACCTCCTGCCTTAAGTTTTTAGTCTAACTCTTAAGTATCCTCTTCTGGACCGAGCAATGATTTCTTTAACGCTTCAAAATCAAAAGTACCGCTATGTCCAAAACTTTCTTTCATCAAATTATTCGATATCTGAATTGAGCTTGCGGATGGTGGCTTATTTAAATTAATTTGCTTTGTTTTTTCATTTTTAAAAATTAATTTAATCTAGCACTACTATTTCATTGAACAGAAGATATCATGGGTAGTTATCTAAAGTCATGAAAAACAAGAAGATGGAATGCAAATGTAACGGGGTTTCTTCGGTTATCCAATGCCTACATTCCAGGCTTTCCGTAAAGGTATCACTTGTTCAATTTGAAAGACTAGAACTATCTCAAAAAGAGTTTTGAAAGTAGTGAGGTGCGGCACTACTATTTCATTGAACACAATTGTATATGTATGTATTTTAATCCTTACTATTGGTGTTTTTATTTGCAAGGTGCTGAAATCTACAAGCGATGTGTATGCTCCCACCTATATATTTGCCAAGAAACTTATTTATCAAATTATGTAGCTCCTTGTTCCTTAGTTCAATTGACTACCGTCAACGCTTGGGAAGGTTATCTTTACAGTCAAGGAAAACATCTTACGATACTGTATTTCGAAAGAATTATAATCTACATAAAAATATGCCATTCAGCAGCTGCGCATAGTAAAAATAAAGGACCGTGCAAAAATTTGTAGTTCGTCTTAGTTAGCCATCACTGCTATCTCGACCATTTGTTGTGTTCAGTGGAAGTACCCCCAAAATTAGAGCTGTCCAGAAACTAGAATCGGGCATCGGACATTGGCGACTCAGAAATTATAACCTGTGGCTCTAATTTCTGGAAGAATTTTTTTATTACCTGCACAGTTTTGCCTTTCGGTTGACTTAAAAATAAAAATGGGAGTCCCAGTTATTCGTGGTGTATACAATTCGATCATATGCAAGTGTAATTTGATTCGCTTGTAGAAATTTGTGTTAGTTAATGACTCAAGGTCTAAGTGAAAATTAAAAAACTAAAATTATAAATTGGAAATTAACTAAAATGTAAAATATAAGTTACATTTTTAACAAAACTGCAATGTTAATAACGCGAAAACTGTCAATAATATAAAATGTCAGCGCACCAAATTGAAGCTGTTTATGGAGTTTTAATACTTAAAAACAAGGATACAATATATAATTCTATTTGTTTTTCATTTTAAAAAAATGTTTCATGAAAATTCGAAATTCGGACATGTAACGTAAGACCCTTTTTATGTAACGTAACAGTCCGCACCATTTTGATTGTCAAAAAAAAGGAAAAAAAAATATTTTTTTGGCAAATATAAAATGTAACTTATTACTTCCTTCCTTAAGCTACAAAATGTTGTAGTATTCGTTAAAAATAGTCAACCAGAAGAGCAGACTTTTTCGAAAGTCTTGTTGGGCATCTTGAAAACCTACTTCCAAATTTGTGTAACGTAACAGTCAATTTGATACGTTCATAACTCTTAAATAACAACGCGTACAGAAAAATCTATATGAACATAAAATCTCAATACTGGTTTCCAATTTTGAATGCAAATACAATACATATGAAACATACCCAGTTTCATGTGTTTTTGCGATAATTTCCGACAAAATATGCGTGCGAATGTAACGTGTTACCTCGATTTTGACAATATATTAATAAAGAAAAATTGTTTTGTGTTAAAATAATGCTTGTGTAATTTTATTGTTATTTTATCATTTTCTGTGCATATAAAAATGTAAATATATTATAACTTTTCAGAAATTGGTACTAACCCAGGTACAAAGTGGTTCTTATTTCCGAACTTCCACTGTATAAGATATGTAGCGTATCAAGGAGAGAGAACTATCTGAAAAGTTTTTATTCTCAATTCTGATTCTGCGGAATTAACTTTTTCGAGCTCAACATATTTTCTGTGCCACGTCATCAGAATGATATTAGAACGATAGTGTTGTTCGTACTTTGGCACAAATTTATTGAATGCCCGGGTAGCTCAGTCGGTAGAGCATTGGACTTTTAATCCAAGGGTCCAGGGTTCAAGTCCCTGCTCGGGCGAAACAATTTTTATATTTTTTGATTCAATAATATTATTTTTTGTCTCATATCATTTTTGCTTTCAATTTTTTTTCTATTTCAACTGATAATATTTTTAGAAATAAAAAATTTAATTGAGAAGTGGTTTTAAGTGGGCGCTGGTATCATATATCCAAGCAGTTTTCAAGCAGTGCACGCGGCAATAATGTCCGTTGGTTGAGCAGTTCATTGTGCAGGCAAAGCAGTTCGATCAAAGCAGGTATTTCAGCAGGTAACTTGCTTTTGAGTTTTAAATCCCAGAGTTCCGACTGGAGGGTTGGCATCTTCTGTAATCACGCTTCTGTGAGGTCAGGTTGTGGAATGGCCTGAGGCTGGGAATCACTGTGTAGCGGACCAGCTCATGTTGACGGAACGTCCGCACTAAGCTTGCCATCAATATGGGTGCCATGGAGGAGTCCGCGGCATTCAGGTTGGCTAAGGAGGGATGAACCGGGCCAGGGGTGAAAACCAGCAGCCAAGAGTTCCCGTGGTAGGCAGTAGTGGGATAGCGTACCGGAGTGAACTGCCGTTGCCAGCCCACCAACATGGTTGGACCACAATCTTTTTGCTACACAAAATTTTGATATTCTTTCTTTTGGCCAAGCTTAAGAGTCATATTTTCTCCTAGGCTATGAAATTCAGAAGTGTTAAAATAAAAGCAAAGTATTAATTCCTTTTGTTTGAGAGGTGAAAGATCGGTATCTCGTCCCGTTCTTCAAGAAATATCCGATTAAAATACGGTTACAATACTCCAACGGTTAATAAAAAAATATGGGATGAAAAGCTGATATGGGAAAACTAACTATGAAAGCTATAAAGCTAATTGACAACGATGATAAGATTCAGAAAAAATAAGATCGCCCGAGCAGGGACTTGAACCCTGGACCCTTGGATTAAAAGTCCAATGCTCTACCGACTGAGCTACCCGGGCACTTGGTCCGCCCCCGCCGCGGATTTCTTCTGAGAAGAATTTCCCCATCCCCTGCATCCAATCAAAAGCCCTTGATCAACAATAAGATGATATTTGGGGTACATTTTAAAATAGTTTTTATTTTTTATGCCATATTCATACATGTTTACATATTGGTTTTTGTTTTGTTTTGTCATTATATTTGTATGGTTTTTGTGGTTTCATAGTTGAAATTTCCATTTGATTTTCGTTTAGATTTTCATTTTCGATTCCATTTTTTAGAAACAATGCCTATGCAATTGAACCCAGATTAAGTTAATACATATACATACGAATTTCATTAAAAATTAATTGCGTAATTTTATTTATACATGGAATGCAGTTAAACTTTTTGCGCCCACTGTGCGTAAGCGCCCCCTTAACCCAAAAAAAACTACAAACAGTGTAAGTATTGTATTGCATTTCGTTTCGTTTCGGTTCAGACAAATTGCAATAAAACAACCAACCAATCGACAGAGGGTGTGCATCAAATGAATGATTGAACAAATGTACAACGAAATTAAACAAAAAATAATAATGATTAATTAATTTGTGCTAAGTATTTTTTGTTTGATTTTTATGCATTTTTCATTTCCACATTTTGTTCGTTTTGCTTTCCGCTTTTGTATCCCATTTTCTGTTTCTGTTTTCACTAAAAATTTGTCTTGCTAGTTCGATATACATAATTTAGGCTTACGGGGCTAGGTTCACATAGACTACCGATAGTTCTAGAATGCACTAACCTTAGCTTAGCGAAAAGTACAGCATAAATAATTACATTACATTACATTACATTATGGTTATGGGGTTTCGGTTTCCTTTAGCTTTCGAGTGTAACAATTCTCGCTCTATTCAAGTTTTTCGTTTGCTTACTTTATTGATTACCTTTCGGTTTTGTTTTGTTTTGTTTTTTTTTATTATTTTTACAGACATGAAACATTGCTGAGAGTTCTCTAAATAAATAATATATATATTAATGCTGCTGCTCGAAAGAAAGTCCAGTTTCCATATCGAATTCTATGCTAATTGTGAAATATTTTTAGTTCCTGTTTGACTTCCGAATTTGTTCTTCAGTGGCAAATGATAATTAAACGATTTGAATAACTTTTGTTTCTTTTTTTTAGTTTTTTGAATAAAATTAGTAAAGCATTTTCGAAGCTGCTAGAGCACTTTCAACAACACACACAAAATAAACTGAACAGTAGAGATAGTTTCAAAGATTTTCTCATTTCTAAACGAAACACAAACATAATAAAAACGAAAGGCCTGCCCCGCGCGGAGACTGTCGTCGAGTCGGGCGGTGGGCGGGCGCTCTCTACTATTTACAAACTAAACAAAGCCTTATGTGGTTAACTAGATTTAGGTTATCTACTGGCTAGGTATTAAGTACACACTTTAGGACTCCCTGGAGGGTGGGGCTGTGGGTTGTGGGTTGGATTGGGATTTGGATTTGGACTTGGGGATATCTCTAAACGAAGAACTAATGTTAGTTAGAAATCACTTTGAAATTATTGCAGATATTAGTTTTGTTTAACTCGATCTTCATCTGTGCTCCTCGTCTGTGCAGCTCTTAGGTACTAAAATTTATGCTAAACTTACATACTAACAGCTTTTCGAATACTGCTTAGAGAAAGAGGTCCATCATACTGGGCGGGAACCACACGCATTCACATTAAGAATAGAAGGGAAATCTCTGCTTGGATCCCCAGGCAGTTGAGAGCTGTGCTCAATTCCGGGAAAGATGGAAAAGGGGAAAGGAACTTCCTTTGAAGGAAAAATATTGAATATCGAATAGAATTGTGTGATTGCTTGGGGTCCCACAGCCAGTATCATAGACCCAAACGAGCTGCCGTGGGGGGAACAGCTCGTTTCTTAGCTTAACACGAATCAGTTGCAAACAAGGAACATCGTCTCTGATGTTGGGTTGATCGACGGGCGGCGACTGGAACAGGCGGGTGGCGTTGTGGGCGGTAGGTGGTAGGCAAGATGTGGGGCAGGTGGCAGGTCGCAGATGACAGGTGCTGGTGAAAGTGGCAATAGATAGATTGTTATCGCCTCAGCAGCAGAACATGTTGCAGCCAACAATGTCCGTCTTGTAGTCCAGGTCCAGGTCCAGCTCCGGATCGGGCTCACAGTCCGATTCCAGCAGCCGTTCCAACTGCTGAAGATTCTGCGCCTTCTGCTCCTCCGCCTGCTGCCTGCTGATGATAACCTGAGATCAGAACTCTTGCGGATACTTGAGGCAATCGGCATTGGAGTTGCTGGCAGCGGAGGAGAAGAGCGAATTGGGACCGTTGCCAGTACTATTGCTGCTGCCACCGCCGCCTGTTACACCCGCACCACCGCCAGCACCACCAACGATGCCACCACCACCACCACCACCTCCAACTCCAACATTGTTAACGCCAGCGCCAAGGGACACAGCATCCTGCGGCCCTTGCGACTGATAGCCACCGGCCACACTGGCCGCCGCCGCCGCCGTCTGATATGGTTCCTGATACAACTGATTGAGTCTCTAACCAGTACCCGAAAAGTGCCACGCGTCCTATGCGCTCAGATGCGCAAACTGTGACGGATGGATATCGAACTGATGGTAGGGATGGCCATAGGGACCCATGTGGTACGGCACAATGTTCATTGAGGCCATCTTGTGCTCCTTCTTCCACTTCATGCGTCGATTCTGGAACCAGATCTTGATCTGGCGCTCCGTCAGGCAGAGGGCGTGGGCGATCTCGATGCGTCGCCGGCGTGTCAGGTAGCGATTAAAGTGGAATTCCTTCTCCAGTTCCAGTGTTTGATAGCGGGTGTATGAGGTCCGTTGTCGTTTCGTCTCGCCATTGGCATTCACAGTACCTGCAGGAGAAGAATAAAGAAAAGATAAATTGTTTCAGTTAGTTTCGAGCAGTAAAAATGTTTCTTAAATTCTAAGATTTGTTTTCTCCCCCCCCCTTCGCCCCATGGGACTATTTGTAGGCGTTTCTAGGCAATACTCGAAACGTTCAAGTGGACAAGAAGACCCCTTGAAGCTCCTCTAACCAGCGCGCTGCTCCAAGGCAGTTAATTTTCTCATTTATTTTGTGATTTTCTGCAACGTTGCGCATTTCATAAATATGACGTGTCAAACTGCAATTTGGTGGCACCCGAAAAGCAGACCCAAGCCAAAAACTACAACTACAAACTTTGTTTTGCTAAAGGAGAAAGAGGAGTTCTGGCCAAGGCACCGAGTATCACCCCAGACAGATGTTTGTCGCTTGCCCCGTCTCACTCACTGGCTTTCTGTATATTTGTATATCGTTTTATATTCACGAAAGATAATGACAATTTCCCGTTCATTGTGAGTCGCCCCCGAAAAGTAAAGTTTTCTGTCATCTGTATTGGGCCTCCGACTGACTGACTGACTGACTGAATGACTCTGCGAGGCAGCGAGGGCGTTGGAAACGCGTCGTTCATAATGAGGGGGCGGTGCTGTGGCAAAGTAGACTTTTAAAAGCCATTTACCGTGGCGTGTTATTATGGCCAAGTCAATTGGCCTGCCCGCCCGCCAGCCCTGGCCAGCCGCCTCGTATTCGCTGGTTTTTGCTTTGGTTTGCTTTTGTTTTGGCTTTCCCAAAAGAGCCCAGCCAAAGAGTTGCCAGAGACAAGGGGCATGGCATGGGCCAATGCCTGCTGCAATAGATATTGTTGTATCTCTAGTATTTATATCTGTGAAATGTGTGGCAGTCAGTCAATGTGATAGACGGCAACCGCTGCCTCTTCTGTCTGTCTGTCTGTCTGTCTCTCTCTGTGTGTGTGTGTGTAGTGGGGCCCTATCTCTATGTCTTGTAAGGGGGGGGGATCTAATTCTATGTTCCACTGATTTTATATGGGTCATGGCCCATTTGCTAAATGGCAATTCCTTTTCGGATAAGATAAGGAATAAGTTTCTGCCAGTTTATTTGATTCGAAAATTTAGTAGATTTCGTAGATTGGAAATTAAGTTCGCTTAAAGTTTTTACGCTGCTTTTTAGTTTGCTGTAAATTCAGACAAGAAAAGTTTAATCTGTGCCACACATTTGGGCCCTCTCCCTCTCCTTCTCCATCTCTATATCCATCTCTCTTTCTCTTTTGTTGTTGCTGCTGTCTGCTGTCTCATTTTCGTGGTCTTCGATGTGACGTTGGCGGAAGATGTCAGGTCACATCAATCAGCGTGGAAAATCTAAATGGAATTTCCGATTAAAGTTGAAATTAATTACCGCTCATTTAATTAAAGTGAATTTGAGTGTGGCAAATGCTCCACCAAGTCTCAAGTATGCGTGTGTGTGTGTGTGTGTGTGTGTGTGGAAGCGCTAACATCAAAAGCTCTTTTCACATCCCTGGGTCTCTGCCTCTCTGGCTCTCTACCTCTCTGCCTCTCTGGCTGCCATATCCTGAATGGGTGCAAACTAATGACCAAGTAAACAGCCGGCAGACAGTAACCAGACAACGGCCATCGGCTTCATCAGTCATGCGGATCAGCAGAGAGAGAGAGAGAGACAGCTATGAGCTTTGGAGTAAAAGGGATGGCTAGCTACGAAATTGAATTGCAGGTAATCCAATACCAAGCCAACTCTTGACCCAGTGCAGTTTTTTGCTTGTTGTCTGGACGCGCGGCGACTGTCAGTCAGGTTATCAAATTTGATTGTGCAACTAATATTTCTGGTTTGCCATTAGAGCGAAACTTTGAAGAAAAGAAAAACTTGGCAGACGGCTGCGAGGGTCAGACTGATGCATGATGTGCAGACATTTTTGAGTGTTTTCTTGTGACTATTTCATAAGCTCGGCTCTGACCTTGCCCAGGGACAGGGGGCCAGCCAAATCAATAACACTTTTCGCTTGGGCAGCCAACAGACTGGGACCTGCTCCTCCTGGTACTGTTCGGTTCTCCCTTTTTGCTGCTGGGCTGGCAAATCATGTGAGTGGATGGCTGGCTGGCTGGCTGGCAGACACAACAAAGACACGCGCTGAACACTTGCACTGCCATCGACCATTTACAATTGTCAAATGTTGCTGTCATATGTTGCAATTTGTTTACAACACTTTTAAACCCAAAAGAGAGGGCAGGCGGTGGGGAGGGGAGGCATAGCAGCAACAGCAACAGCACTGCCAAATGTATCACAGAGATGTTGGGGATGTTTTAAGGGGAGTTTGGGCAGACGGAAAATGGCCAAAAGTTAAATTTTTGAAGATATATTTCTGCAGGGATTAAGGTATATTATTTATACTAATAATCTTTGCCCTAAAAAGAGCTAGAAAATATTCCAAACAGCTCTACAAACCAAAAACTTCTTTGAAGAACTTTACTTCCCTGGAATTCTCAGCAATTTCTGCAGCTAATCTTTGGTCTTTCCTCTCATTATATCTAAATCAGCCCCATCATTGGCCTCTAGGGAAGATCTCATACTCCTACCCAAATTCAGTTTTGATTTCCGACTAAAGATCAACACACATCCGCACAACCCGTTGAGTGTCAGCACTGTGGTCGTCGTCTCTGTTAAGACTTGTCTGCCCAATCTTTAGTTTTTTTTTGACTTTTGGTTAACTACATGCGAGTAAGTAGCGCATCGCTGTCGTCATGGCCAGGCGCAAAGGCAAAGGCAAAAGCAAAAGCCCCCCGAATGAGTTGACAGGGCAGAGCAGCAGCAGCCACAGAAACGGCACCTGGCCTGTCATATCACTCCACATGCTTATATCAGAGGGGGACTGCCCGACGGAGAGAGCGAGCAGAGCGAGCAGAGATCATGGGAGGAAGGAAGGCCTCTTGACAGCGCCAATGAGCGAACATTCGAAGCGTTTTACAAGTTTGTTCCCATTTCCCTGCCACCTCAATGGGAGAGGCACTGGCACTGCCACTGGGGCTGCCACTGGGGCTGGCTACGTCTGGGCATTTGTGAAATACTATATAGACATATTGGATTCTGCATACATATATCCACAATACATATATACATATTTCTGAAGAATGAAGAATTCGCTTGTGTGTGACTTTTGTGTTTGGTTTGGTTTGGCTGTCTCTGCTTTGTCATGTACTCTTTCTGGGGTTTGGGGATTATTTGAATATGATGTTTGTTTATTTGTATTTTTGTATTGAAAGCTAAGATGTGCTTAAACCTTAAACAAGAGCTAAAAGTTGCACTATTTTAATGCAGAAATTATTCCAGAATTAAGTGAATATTCCCCTAACAATTCCCCTCAGCTACCTTCCAAAAGAGCATTCAGAATTCTACTTACTGCTCCGTTTGCTGGTCATTTCATTTGCATTTCATGTAAGATGACGTCAAAGTGCCTGTGGCTCGGCCCACAGCTGACAGCCGCTTAACATATCAGTTGATATTTGAAATATTTTGGTGCATCCACAACATGCAGCATGCAGCATGGGGATGTGGGGGCATGCAAAAGATCTGTTTCAGAATTTATTAAGTGACGATCCACGGTCGGTCCAACTTCGATCGATGCTCAGTGTCAGCATTCAGCATACAGCATTCTGCAATTCAAATTGCCATTGTCCGTTTGGGCCTGTTGCCCCCGATGTTTTTGTCTCTTTATCTCTTTGCATACTGCCCGGCAAGATCAGGGGTCTGTGATCTGTGATTGACACGGGATTAGCATACGATACGCAGGGCAGACTTCACTCAGCTGAAGGCAGGTTCAAAGTTAAGCAGAAAACCTTTGGCGTAGGTCAGACACACACAGAGAGACACAGTCGCAGCCTGAAGTTTAATTGTTTTCTTTTTTTGTTGTTTGGCGCAAATAGACACAAGAAATAAGGCAGGAAAAAAAAAACCGAAAGATACTTGCGGCTTGTCACAAACACTTGTAGCGGTCATTTGTCAACGGACCGGCGTCTGGTCAGCGGAGGTAGGAATAAAAAATAAAAACCCTCCCAGAGCTCCAGCAACAACTGAACATCGTCATCGTAATCAGCAACGTGTGCGGCACCAGAGACTCAACTTTGAGGCAGGAGCGCGAGGCCACAGCCGACTCCCCACAGCACAGCACCTGGGGATCAACTGGCGGCCTCAGTTTTGATCTTATCCCAGCAAAAATAAATAAAACACACAAAAAGAAACAGAAACATCTTTGCACTTGTTGTATTTGTTACAGTAGAAATCGCGACAAACAAACTGCAAAGTGTCCATGAGTCAGGGCAGGTTCATTCCTCAAAGGAAAGTTCATAAATCAACGCACTTCCGATTGGATCCGATCCGATCCGAAGATCCAGTGTGCAGTGTGGCTACTTAATGAGTCGTTTAACCAAAAGCCATTATCAATGTCAAAATTCCAACCCAAGATCATTACTCATACAACAAGAGGGATGGAATGGATGGTTATAGAGAGTTTTGTATAGGCCAAAGTGTGTACGAAATTTGTCAAAAATTAAACTAATTAACTCGGCAGATCTGTGGTTAGATCTGGTGCGGGGTTGCGGGAGTGGAGGAATTCCCAAAACAGTTTGCACAAATTTTAGTATTAAGATTCCCTCAAACAGTTCCATAAATAAATCAGACAGAGATAGAATGGAAATGAGAGAGAGATGATGCCACGCTTGAGGTCTGTTGGAAGAAATAAATCTTGAACCATGAGAAGCGATCGGAATGGCATGGGGAATGGGCATGGGCATGGGGATAGGAATGAAGAGGATGGGCACGGGCATGGGACATGGGACATGGAGCAGTCAAAAGGGCCGCCACAGGGGTCGTCGGGACATGTGCAGCGCGCGGGTTAATTTCTTTCGGAAAAAGAAAATTAATCAAATATGTGTGTGCCCCTCAGTCTCTCAGTCGCAGTCGCAGTCGCAGTCTCTCAGTGCTATCTTGAGCATGTATCTTCTCTCTTTC